GACAGACATGTCATATTTATGGCCTTACTTATCCGTAGACGTCAAAGACATGCAAGGCAAAGAAGAAGGTGGTGGGTCAAACCCTGGATTGAGAGACGTGTGCTGTTTGGACAGTATGATAATCTGATGCCGATGCTTGTATTTTGGTTGTGTCTTGTTCACTGTAGCAGCCGTTCGTCAGGCATCAGCGGTTGTAATGAAGAAAGTCGCATCGCGTGTCGTATAGGCCAACACCTCGCGCGACAGGTGGTGCGGTGTGTCGCACAATGGGTCGTAGCCTTGTACGATGGGTCGTAGCCTTGTACGATCGGTTGTAGTAGTCGTACAACGGGTCGCTTGGTCGCGAGACATATGGCGCTACAAAACGCATATGTCGTGCGACTTGGTCGCATCATCGTTCAACCGTTGCAGCCGTTGTACGACTGTTGCACCCGGAAACATTAAAATAATCGCACGATTACGTCTCACGACTGTTGTATCCTGGTGCAGTGGTCGTTCACCTCTCGTACGATTTTATATATTGCTTGCGACTCAAAGACAACACTTCTACAATAGGACGGAAAAAATATTTTCGAAAAAAAAAATATCGCACGAGTGAGGCGCCAATTGAGAAAGGGGCTTTATAATCGTGACTGGTATATTTCTTTCTCTGCACAGCCTCAGTTGTGGTGATATACATTCACCAAACGATCCCAGCCCGTGACAGCGGACAAGCTGAGAGGGAGGAGACTTATAAGATAAGCACGCTATCAAAGACAAAGAATATTAGACCGGCATTAAAGACAAGCTCCCCGCTCCTGAATACGGCATAGCCCCACAAAGCCCCCCTCCCCGCATTTAATTAACGTCATAGTATTTTAAAGAAGGCATACTATTCTGAAATAGTTTCTAGAATGATAATTGAATGATATAAATTATGGGCGTTTCAATGAAACGGCGCTGTCTAGTCTAAATTGAATAATCACGCAATGTTTTGACCAATTGACCGAATCTCACCTAAATAATAATTGCATCGACAAAAGTGACCCTACAAAAGGATACAAACATGAAACGCGAGATTCAAATTGAAATTGGTCACGTTTTTGGGAAAGCAGAAAATTATCGTACTAACTGACTGTACGTCGCGGTATTCGTGAAAGTGACTCTGTACATGGTTGATACATTGTTTTTTTGTTCAGCTTTTTTTAAGAAAATGGCACACAAAAAAGAAATGAGCAGCTTTCATAGTATTCGTATTATTGGCAATTATCATACATGTTATCATACGTGTCGCCTTCATTGTACTGTTCAAACAACGAAATGTTTTTTTTTTCCAAATATGGATTCCAATCATTGAGAGGGCTGTTTCATAAAACCTGAGAATAGTCCCTTAATTATTTAATTAATAGTAATATACTATAATCTATATATATAATGCCATTGTTCTAACAATGACTAATAATTACCATATTATTAATCACAAATATTGATAAACAAATGATCAAAATACAGTTTTCGTGAACATTTGTCGCATTTTTTTGGTGTACGAAAAGTAGTTTAGTGACTACGCATTTTTATCTGGAGGTTATGAACAACAGCATAAAAATGTATATTGAAAATATGATCATCTATTTTAATGATTGCCTACTACCGTAATTACTTATAAATTACATACTGTTTACCCCAAGTCTATCCCTTGAGTCATCCAATTCTTACTAGAAGTTTTTCAATTAATGAAACATCTTGGAATCCAATCCCTGCAATCTGGCAAATATTAAATGTCAGTATTATAATCCTTCCCTAAGAAACTCAAGCTGATTCAGTTTGTAACTGTCGCATACGACTTATTTACCACTTCCGTGTCACTGAGAATGTTCTAGAACCGTACTGTGTGTGGGTGGAATATTCTAGATTTTTTTAGAAACTGGTTGAATAGGTAATAGAACACTGTAGGAGGCAATAGAAGGTAATGGAACATTCTAGAAATTTATAGTAAATTCCAGACTCATTATGTATGCTGATGTAATGGTATGTTTATAGACAGTGTGGGTATATATAGGGGAGTTGTTCAGCACTGGGATCAGATAGAAGATCTCGTTGAATTGTATTGGAGTTTAAGTATCTAGTTATTGGAGTAGTGGAGTTTTACCGCGTTATTGTACTTGATGTTTGCAGAGTATAATAATACCAGTACCAGTTGAAAACTCATCTGTTGGCTTCGTGTTCGTATTTTATCGTCGCCGCCAGGGAAGTCTTTCTGTTACTGTTGCCATTTTGGTATTTGAACCATCACACATGTACTATACCAATTACGGTAATATTACGTTGCGTGTGACAATAACACTTAATTAATTAACTAAATTCACCCAAACTCCCAATTCGCCATCCATTCTTTGATTTAAATGTCAAGGGTACTCATGGGTTATCCGAACTCCGTGATTATAAACCGAGTAGACTAATTTTGTTTCTAGTTGTTCAAATATTACTTAGTCGCTTAGTTTAAAAATGTATTATTATGGACCGACACTGATAACTCATGGTCGCTGAAACGTTTGAACTTTGTGTCTATAACATAAATTGACAGAAGCATATACGCCAAATGGAGTTAAAGATAGATAACTAATTAATAATACAATAAGTAATAGCTATTAATTGATAGTGGCATGGTTATGCCTGCCAAGCTGTGACAATCTAGATTATCTATTTATTTCCTGTCTCAATATTCCCGTTAAAGTTGTAGTTTAACCCCCTGTATTAATGTCAGTATGTTTTCGTGTTGGTAGACCTTCAAGCAGTTTTGTTGCATAACGTTGATTTCTTGGAGAAGCAGTTTTTCAGTATTTAATATATTTAACCAGAAAAATGGACCATGGGAGAAATGTGTGTCACAGTTTAGGAGCCAGAGTTACGTACTTGTTTAGATTTCGCGTTGGTTGCCAGTGGGGCATACAATCACATCTGCAAATTGGAATTTATCGGTATATTTATTTCAACTAAAGTTAGTCGGTTTTTAAAACAAATAGCCATAAGTACAATTTTCATGTCCACTTTCATTGTTAATCTTCTGTTTTATAAATATATTGCCAGATTTATTAACAAAAATGACTTTTTAATTTTTTCTAAAACTATTATTACAAAAAAGTGTTTCCTAAATCACGCATTTTGCATCACCAGACTGCAAAATCTGTAATTTAGGTCATTTCAAAATCAATTTATATTCACTGTCACCTCATAAATCTTATTTTTTTCATTTTTTATACTAGAGCGTCAAGCAAATATTACAATACGTTACATGTACTGAGTAGATGTATATAATCACTTTCCAGTGTACGGTTAATAATTTAGATGACATGTTATTGCTGTTAGGGAGTTACATTAAGGATGTCTTGGTTTTATTTTATGGAATTTACTATTTATCTGCTAAAAAACTTTACCATGGTTACGTAGCTGTATGAAGTGATATGGAACAAAGTGGTTCTAGTATCAAGTGACCGTTCTTATTTGCAATATTCCAAGCTTCACTAAATGCATATAATGAACAATTGTTATACCGATCATGCATATAAAGGAACATAGACCTAAATACAGCCCATTATTGCTGAAATACCAAATACATCAATTTCAAAAAAACCCACGAGAATGCGCAAAACATTATCTATATTAATAACCTGCAGTATTTTTATTGAGTTATTGATTCACAGACTGGAATATGATATAGAAACTGAAATTGAAAATTCTCAATGCATGACATTTTGCCACAAATAGTCAATTAAGATAAACATTCAACAGAAAATCGTATTCCTATGTGCATTTCATTTACAGTATTTGTTATACTTATAGAGTAATGTTTACAATGGTTATGTTTTCGTTAAAAATGAACAAAGTCATCTGACACACTACAGAGCAACATTTAATGTTGCGAGATGTGAAGATAGTAGATGTGAACTCAGCCAATTGTCATTTAGTTTAATTTAATCATGTCACTCATGTTGAAAATACTCGTATACAATTCGGTAACTTGAATAATTAAATGAGTTAAAAATGTCTCATTAAATACTAGCTCATCATATGTTAGCTGCGAGGATGCGTATCCTCAAAAGCGAGTCGTTAAGGCGTGGTTAGAATCCGAATAGTTTTACATTCAATAATACATATATGATTTATGACTAATTTGTTTACTTTTTTTAAATTATAGAAATGAAATTATGAAATATATAAAAAGTAATTAGACAATATACAAGAGTACTAATATGCGCTTATTGGGTATGATGCCAACGATGTGAATGATTCAGATACATAGTGATGAACATATAATTATTTGTCAATACACTTTGATGTATTTTTTAATCAAATGAAAGTACTCATTTGGGAAGTAGTGTTTGGTTACTTTATTTCTGAATACAATAGTGACATATGTACCTTATGTGTAGCACTACAAACAAACAAAAACCTAAGTACATTTACTTAATTGATATACATGCCAATTATCATTTCTATTCGTTGTGTAATGCTGAATTTACAATTATTTGTCAATACACACTGATGACGATAACATTTTAAATTTACAACAAATTTTCAATCAAAAAAATATACCCATTCGGTAAATAATATTTGACTAACTTTTGTCTGAATACAATAGCAGTATGTTACCTTATATGTTGCTACAGCAAAAACTAGTATATTTACTTATTATTTATTATTTATACAAGACAATTATTATTTCGATTCCATTGGTTGTGTGTTTGGTGTAGAACTACCAATCTCTTCATAGTTACTTGTATCCCGTTACTTGGTAACTGCATGTTAGTGATTGATAATGACTGACATTACAGGGCTGTAATGATTCAAAATCACTGGGAAGCGTGGTTCCCAATGTTTGATATTCACGGGTAGCTTGGGGTTTTAATGGTTGATAGTTACTTGTTATACACATATTAGTAACTCGTTCATTCGCTATTTCAGAAATAGATGTATGTAGTTCCTTCTTAGCAGTTGGACCACGTGGATCTGTAATATTTTCTTTAATGTTTACTGTCCATGTTCAGGACATTTGTTCGCAAGTCACTGATTCTTCTTTCTCTGCTATTATGTTGATGCTTATACATGATAATTACTACGATTACAATCAATAGTAAAGATGCGACAATAGATAGACTGACTACAATAAGAATGATATTAGCACTAGACGTCTGGTCTATATAAGACAAATATCCAATGAAGAATTCAAGGTTCCCAACAACAACCTGGAGAAAAAAAACAAACGTAATGCAATTGAACGCATTGTTGACAAATTCGAGTTTACTATACAATACCATATTCACGTTAACACGAAAGTTGATTTGGTAGATGGTAATATAGAAGTTATCTTACCATCACTTCAGGTAAATTGTTATTAGTTGCGGTGCCATTAATATCTACGCCTCTGGGCTGTGATTCAGGAGGTATGCAGTATAGTATAGTATTACCAATACTTGTTACATTACATATCTCAGTTCCAATGTATACAGTCACTTCATCACTCGTACTGGCAAGATCGAGGTTCATTCCCTGAATACAAATGTCATGTTGAAATGCAGCATTTAGATGGACATAATATACACCAACGAAAGTGTCACGCTGTTAGTACGCCATTAATTCTACGCCGTGATGTGGACAAATGCTGTAAATACCCGCTATAGTTACGGGAAATCACATTAATATATAATTGTTTGCCTTTAAATTTTTTAGGTTTCCCGTTTTATAAATTTGAAACTATCCTAGGGTACGCTCAGAGTTGGAATGTGGTAGACATCGTACCACCGAGACAAACACCATTATAAATAAAGAAGCTACATCTACACATGTGCCTATACATCAAACATTTGGAATTGTGCCATCTAACTAGGTATGTTAGACAAGGTTGATGTTAAGTATAAAGTGATACACAATGTTCTGAATAAAACCATGTACGAACCAACAATTATAGATTTGATGGGTACATTGAGTGATTTTGATTGATTGTTATTGAAACATCTTCTGTAAATGCCATTCATAACCTCATTGCTTCTATAGGACACGATTTACCTTGATATAGATTTGCTCTCCTTCAAAGTGGTTGATGTGTCCTTCATTCTCGAATCTGAAATAAACTGGGTTCATGTACATTTTGAAATATAACTGGGGTAGACTGCGTAACTCATGTACACTGTCCATTATAAATCCTATTGTCACATCTACACAGGTACCATCGCATGTCGATCTTTTAGATTGTGATGACTCATCTGATCTCATTTTATTGAGTTGTGTTGATGGTGGATATGGTACATATGGAGTTATGCATATCATACTGGTATCGAACAATACTTCACATGGATCCTGCAATATAAATTTATATTTATATTTATTTAATATTTTGTGTTATATGAAGATTCGCTATCACCTTTATGTCACAGTGTGGTAATATGCATTTAATATACCTGAGTGATTTTGTATCGGACTGATGTAAGATGTAAGTCGGAAATGTTTTGAAACAAGCACAACGTTAGGGCAATTTGAATACAATCTGATGTATTGTATGGCATGTTTGTCGGTTTTTCGATTTTGTATATTTTATTTTATTAGTACTATATTTTATCAAATGAATAATAAAATAAAATATAGTTAAGTATATTTATGATAAATAATGATTTACATATTTGAAAACAATGAAAATAATATTGATATATTTTCACAATCTTTTTCTGCATTCATGTTATATGTTGACAATTTTGCATCTTCTACTGCATATGTATTTGTATAATTCATAAGAAAGTCGATGGTGTTTAATTTCTAAGAAGATCATCAAAAACAACTCACTGATGTATAGGCTTCTTGATATATGTAAATTATTAGTTTGGGCTCCTGAATTGAACCAAAATTAGTTCCATATACACTAACTTGTCGACCACCACTGGAAGGTAAAATCAATAAAACTAATCAATAAACAATTCAATCAATCAATCAATAAATCATTCTATCAATCACAGAGTGGCTTTATCAGCAACCGAATAATCAAACTAGTGCTTATAGATTGTGTCTGTATATGTGAAAGTTATCCTTACCTGAACATACTTTCCTCTTTTGAAATACTGAGTACTGTAGGATTTTCTGTGTATTCATATGTTATTCCATTAATTGGCCGTGCAGCGCCATCGAAATACACTGTAATCGTTGCACTATCTGTTTGTTGATGTGGTGGGGATATGCATGCAATACTTGTACTATTCACTAAATCACTATGAACAAATATAAATCTAATTCTAATAAATGCATTTGTGTCATTTATATGCACTATTTATTTACTAATTTATATTTTGAGACATAAATACTGACGCTATTAAATATTACACCCTCGGTACAGTGAGTTATCACCTTTTAACTGTGCACAGTGCTCCATCGATATATGCTGTTATATTCCTTCCAGCATTCATATATTTTCCAGTTATCACTATTCTAGTACCTCCAGCTTTTGGACCAATCTTGGGAATAAAATCACTTGGAATTTGTTTCTGAAGAAATGTTAAAAAAGATTCATGTACGCCAAATTAGTAAATAAAAGACACAGTATTCAACATAGTATAAATATTACCCTCCATGTGAACTGTATTGAGCTTCCAGATACTCCAGTTTGTAGCGTTCCATCATTACCAATAACTATTACACTGATCTTACCAGACATATCGACATCTGCAGAATCTGTTGTGCATTCAACACTGCGGATGGATATTGAATAAAATTTAATGTGTTATACTGAATAATTTGTAAGATTAGTTTTGTTCATTTCCGTTTGTTGTTTTGAATAGTACGTTATGATAATAGCTCAGGGGAACATATTACCTTCTAGAAACAGTGTATTTGTCTTCAACTAACACGCAGTTACGACCTCCAATGTGGACATTGTCAATGTGGGAGTACGTCTTTCCCAAATTGCTACCGCTAATGACGATGTCCGTTCCACCTTCAAATGAACCAGAAGACGGCCAAATCTGAAAGAACAATATTATAATGCACACTACTATTATAACAGTTTAATCGTAACTTGAAATATCTACTTGAAAAATTAACCAGTGTATTAATTGTAATTGTAAAATTGAAAAGATTTCATATTACCTCGTGGATAACAGGGTCATCACAGTTGTGAGTTGTATCTTGTGGCAACCAATCATAATCACAATGCTGTTCAATCTGACAGGAATTATAACTAACACACCAACCACATTGTAGTTCCTCTCTACTTGTTACAGTAGATAAGCATTCATTGCAGTCAAGACGACCAACACTACAATCATACAATGTTACTGTAAAAGAATATCTCAGATATCAAATGTTAGAAAAATAAAACCATAATAATCATGATTTATGATTGCATTGTAAAGTGTTGTCAAATATATATAATCTTTTATCTGGAAGTTGATTTTATGTTGCTTCCCAACAAACTCACCTATGTATCCATATATATCATCAATGATATAGTTATCATTCCATTGTACAATTAAACTCACGTTCAACTCCTGGGTATCAGCAATATAGTGGTACTAAGACAGAAACAGAGATTGACACAATGCCATTAAGCATTGACTGCTGTGGCATGATTATACGAGTATTACATGAAAAGTAGAAATTGTTTTCAATAACATACAAATGTTCATACCACCTACATATGAGGTCTATTGCAAAATAGTGCACTGTGCCTATATTACCTACCTGGAAGTTGAATGCCAAATCAACCAATATGGAGGCAAAACCTGTCATTTAGACCACATTGATCATAAATAAATAACACAAATAAAATGTCTGGTTGAATGAAAACATTCACCACTAAGAAACTAAGAATTACCCCGGGTGCATAAACCATAACAGATTGACAGTTTATGATATCAAAATACAGAT